AATCAGCCCAAATTATTCGCTAATTCATGTACCGAGAGGGACGAGTGTCAAGAGGTCGCAGAAGGCAGGAAACAAAACAAAAGCAAGACAGTTTCAAGTGCCTCAACACTGGAGGTCCTTTAAAAGTTAACCAGGTTTCACATCTCAATGACTGAAACACAGTTGCAAATGGTCCAGAACCAAGTTTTGCATTCATCGAGCAGCATAATTAATCTAATTCAAAGCGTGGGTTGATGGCATGCACGACAAGAGATAGAATTAGGCATTGCATAGTTTTCTCTTTCATGAAGGAGAGGGTAGTGCCTTTTTTATTATATTGCTGTGATGAGCGTGACAGCAGACCAAAGCAAATATTCCAGCACTGGGTCATGTGATTACCACTCCCAGTTCTTCTGGCCTGTATGTAGATCAGTAGCAAATTACTATGGCTATCCTTGACAGATTTGAACCCCCCTCCCCATACAAAAACATAAACGAAAGGACCATGAAGTAAACAGATCTCATGACTTTTTTTTTATAGAAACTTTAACAAAACAGGTTTTTAAATTGTTTAATTGGATAGTTGTGACAATCCCTGAGTAGATACCAACACTTGCTTTAACCACAGATGCCTACTAATGGGATTCTAGGAAAACTCTAGAACTTCTCTAAACAACCGCAAACAGGCTGTCAACCACACAGTACAGAGTTGGTACCCACTAGTTACTCCACAGCCACAGGTTATATTTGTCATGGCATTGTGGTCAGTTAACTCATTATAATCTTTTGTTTTTTTTCTGCGTTGTCTATTTGTTTGGCTTAGGCTTGTATTCTCCAAGCTATGAAAAAAGTTTAAATTGCAGGATTCCTTTAGAAAAGCACAGACAATTAGAAAGCTGCTTCAACATTAGTGTGGGGACAAGGTTCAAAACATCATGTGCCATTACATCAGTACATGGTCCTACCCACTTTTTTTTATAACAGCAATTAAAAATATATTCAGCAACCTGCTATTCGGGTAACAGATTTGTAAAGTAAAATGGCCAACAAAGAAAACACATCTTTGTTCAACTGGCCTTCCAGAATCACATCAATTATTTTATAGAGCACTGACAAAGCCAAACACATCACACGAGTATCAGGCTGACAACTGCATTGTGGTTCTCTTCTTTGGAGCTTTTTCCTGTCCTGAAGACATATCGCAACACTACACTGTGTTTGCCAATAATATGAAGCAATCTCGCTGCAAAGACGGGAACTTTAAGGAGGCACTATTAGTGATTCAGAAAACACTTGTTTGCAAAATATATATTTTAAACAGACCAGACTGGAGGTATAAAGACTGAAATCGCACAGGAAGGATTACAATGAGTAATGGCAATTCGTAAGTCAATTGGAGGATATGCGCTAGCTCCCGATCTGTCAAGTAAATCCATGACAAACAGCATTAACGTTACCTGGATCTCAAGCAGCTAGCCAAACTCTGCTTCATTGCAGCAGGCCTACACGGTTAACTGTCTGGCTAAAAAAAACAAGCACGGTAGCATAGTTTGCGATATCAACACGATTGCTCCACCTAACCCCAACAACAATGATAGCCCAGATACTTTTGTTATCAGCGTTTGCTTGCAAGATGCAGAAAAGGGGGCTGTGGCAGGCCACTGTTGGGTGCTAGCCACAAGCTAGCGGCTAACTAGCCCATCACTCAGGCTTTATGGGAGAACTAGCTAGTCGCATTAGCAGCGGGGTTCAATCAAGCAAACATGCAGAAGAGACGAGTGGCAGGTGCTAACGGGTGCAGTTACCTGTAAAATCGCTAGCGGGTGTTATTCGTAGCCGTCCCTCAGCCCCCCACCCTCCTCCGAGTGCGGCCGGTGCGTCTCTGTTTTCCCACTCTGGTGCTGAAGGTGCTCAGTTACGCCGTATTCCCCCCACCAGAACTCAGGACGCTGCCATATTCCTGATACCAAAAGCGAACTATCGCGCATGCGCGAGGCCTGCCTGTCATGCGGCTGTCAGCTGATTGGTTTGTCTGGAAGCGGAATTATTGAGACACCTGATCCCGGATCGGTTTTTCTTTCATTCCTTCCACGTTTGAATTGATAGATACGGCCGAAACCGACCCCGGAACAGATTAGTGTAGCTGTCTACTGCGGAACGAGCGTAATAATGGAGTTTTTAGTTTTCATTTGGGCTAATTAGAAAGGAAGTACTTAATAAGAGACGGCATGGAAGCGAGACGGATAACAACAGATACAGATTTTTTTTTTAAATAAAAAATTTAACCAAAGAGCCAACCCTAGACAGGTGATATACAAGAACCTAATTCTGACAGTCATCTTGCTGAAATGGTCTTGGGGAATTGACCTGGTGAACTGGAGAATACATTACATGATGTTGTTGTTTCTACTCTATTTATATATTTAATATTTCTCTCTGAATACTCAAAGGATAATTCAACTTGCTCATTTAAGAGTTTTGAAGGTCTCCACTGGTGTCAACAGCCTGCTAATACATTGTTACACATGGATTAAATACAGCTATTGTGCCCTCTAGAGACACTGTCCCATCAATGCAGCAATACCTTAAGTTGAGAAAGAGCACCTCCAGTTCACTGTACTTATCGAGTACTGTTCTGAGCACCATTAGACCTGCATGAAAACCCTGATCAATAATGACATATAAACACTGAGCACAAACATCTATACATGCAAACACACGCAAATACATTTAAAATGTCCTGCCTCTAAAATAGTTGTTTAAGGTCAACAGTGGAGTGTGCTAGCTTCGTTATAGTTTAATTTGTTGCCTACTTACTTTTAAATAATGTGCGTAACAGCTTTAGGAAAAAAAAACATTAAAAACTGTACTTTCTCATCCTGTCCTTTCCCATTTCTAATGGTCAACTTAATTTCATCTGCCAGCTGCCCACAGTGTCTTATTGCTTCCTCTGCCTTTTACCATTTCGTTGTTTATTATATATGATATTTTTGTGTTAAGATTCAATTTTTTAATTTTCTTACTTTTGATCTTGCAATGGCGCGTGTTCTTCTATAATTAAGTTTTCGAAGAAGTTTACAGTTCAGCTTAATTAGATTCTCTAAAACATTAAATTTAAACAATAGAGAGGCAGAACCACCGGAAAAGTCTAGCAGCACCCAACATAGAGGATCCTAATGAAAGCCAAAAGCGATCTATACTTTTGATCATTTGATTTTTAACTACTGCTGTGTCTCGAATCGAAGTGACTCACCGCGATTGAAGGTAAAGGGGAAACATCTTGGCCTCTGTCACTGACTGATGTTGCACACTAAACTTGAGCGGGGCAGCACAGAATGCTCACATTATCAGGCATCTGATTAGGTGACCAACCATGTGCTGCCCGTTAGTCTAATTCAATTACAGTTAGAGAGACATGAGGAAAGAAGTTTCCTTCTTTTTTCTTAGCAAAATGGAGAGTGAAGCTCCTTTGGCTTCAGTGACGGAGGATGTGAAGACGGTGTCACAGAGATGAAGTTTTTAATTTGGCTCACATGATGGAGAAACCGCCATACTGAGTCCCACCTGACAATCAACTTAATCATGTGTAAACAGAATGCTAGTGGTTGCAGTTGTATTTGTGCAAATGTCTGAACATCTTCTATTGCTCAAGGTATTGTTTGCTAAAAGTGTAAAGATTTTATAGTCTTTCCAAAAAAAAAGTATATAGTAGCTATATGTTGTAGAATCCTTGGCCTTTCTGTCGCTGGAGGTTTCCAGGGCTTGTCAATGAAATAAGGGACCCAGTGCCAAAGGAACAAAGGCACAGATGATTGAAGATGCTCCCTATGTTGGGGATGAGCAGCAGGGGTCTATACTCTGCATGAATGTGCTTTTACTGTAATAAGCCTCAACACTGTCTAGACTCACTGACAAGCCTGCTTCTCTCTTCCTTTTTTCCAACTCTATACTGCCATCTACTGCTGCATGTGATATATTGAAGCAGGTACAACTGCCACTTTGGTAACTGCATTTAACTCAGTTATAACCCTTCAGTACCTATGGCCCGACTCGTAAGTTACATTTTGCAGAAACGGCACAGAATATACATTTTAAGGTTTTGCTCTTTCAGAATTATTAAAGGCTGCAAGACAAACAGTTGCGAAAGTACATATAGCTAGTTTTAAAAAATGTGTGTTTTTTTCAAAGAACACGTTTGCATAGATTGTAAAGCTTGTTAGGTCTATGTTCTGTTATGTATGAAATCCACACAACAGCAGCTATATAAAAATGAAGTACAGTAAAAAACAAAATTAAAAAAACAGGACAAGAAATACAAAATTAGATTACAAAAATAAAGGTAATAATAAAGACTTTTCACAGCTACAGATATTGCATTATATAATAATGATTGTACCCAAATTATAGGACACACACAGAGTATGGAAATGGAACTTTAAAAACTGTAAAGAGTAATAGTAAGACATAATGATATTGCATTTAAAAAGTTACATGTTATTAAAGTCAGGTTGTATTACTTGAAAGTTTTTCTGTAGCATCGTTTTAAATTCTGTATCCGTATCTTGCCATATCATTTCATTTTTCTTTACAGAGTTAACTAAATATTTCTGTTGCAAAATATGTTGACCAAACTTCATTTGGCAAAGGACGGGATTAGAGTGTATGTAGCAGACATATGGAAACTGAAGAGCAAAGTAGATTGGAATGATATTAGTTGTGGTGCATTTAAAGATATATAGACAAAACACATTGTTCAATGTTCACATGGAATTGAAGTACAACAAAAACAGACTAAACAGCTATCTTGAAGCTAAAAATATAGATACACAAAACCACAGATGAGCGATATAACTGAAACAATTATTTATATGAAATTTGGCGCAGAAAATGTTGTCGCAATAATAAATCTTATGTTCTGATTATGGTCCGTCCATATCGCCTTTTGTTCTATCTTGAACGCAGCGCCATTGAACGCAGCTCTCGTAACCAAGGTGATGACGCTCCTTTCCGTTACCAAGGCATTCTCAAGGCAAACACTAGCTGGGTAGCTAAGCTAGCAGATCTGCTAGATAATCTTATAGCTATGATATAACCTCAGTTTAGCCTCTTCGCCGACTTTATTATAAGTGCAAGGGAGTTTATTAGAACCCTCGACTCCAGAATATCACCTCTGGCTTCCAGTCTGCTCCCTGCGTGGCCTAAATTAGAGGCAGAAACATCCATTTTTCCTTTGGATCAGCTCAGTCTACAGGCTAGCTAATTTAGTTACGTTAACGTTAGCGCCACAGCCACCATGGTAAGTAGCTGCTATGATTTGCTGTTTCGGCCACCTGTTTGCTTTTCTTGCTAAACGTGTAGCCCTATTTTCTAAACGTAGTACCCGAGCTGAATTTAAAGACGAGCAGACAGCTAACGTTAGCCAGCACCCCCACACATAGCACGTTGGACGTGCAAGCTCATGTGAAAAGGCCCTCTTACACATTAGCAGGAGAAAATCCCCTTCTAGTTAGCTGATCAGCGAATTGTGGTTGCTATCACAGCGTCTCTCCGTCTCTATATCAGTCTTTTATTTTCTTTGCTACTAATCTGTTTCCTCTTGTCTCCGTGTAGGCTGAATTTGGGTTTAATGAACACCATCAGAATGAAGTCATCAATTACATGCGATTTGCACGTTCGAAGAGGGTCCTGAGGCTCAAAACTATTGACTCATGCTTTGAGGAGCTTAAAGATAGCAGGTGACTGGTTGTTAAGGTTTTTGGTGCTATTGTTTTTATGCAAATGTAGCTTTATGCTCAGCAGTCTGTAGAAGGGAGATGTAACAGATAGAGAAAAAAAAGTGGTTTCTACTTCAGATGGATCCGTAACATTAATGCTTGTGTGTGTGTTTCTGTCTGAAGGCTTGTAGAGGAAACATTCACAGTGGACGAGGTGAGGGAGATGCTGGATGGGCTGCAGGTGGTGGTGCGTGGGGAGGTGGAGATGGAGCTCATCAACACAGCCCACACCAATGTGCTGCTGCTCAGGCAGCTCTTCTCTCAGGCTGAGAAGTTTTACCTACGGCTGCAGAGCGACATCTCAGAGCTGGAGAACAGGTGGGCTGTAAGGGAAGATGCAGATTAAGGTTTCCTGAAAAATGCTGCATTAATAACCAAAAAACATAAATTTAATGGAAGGAGACATCGACACATTTGTTCCAAGAGGAGTACAAAATGTGTGTATTTGGATCTTATGCAAAATACAGCACCTGCAAAGTCCTGAAAAAAGATTCATCCATCCATTATCTATACACCGCTTAATCCTCACTAGGGTCACGGGGGCTGGAGCCTATCCCAGCTGACTTAGGGTGAAGGCAGGGCACACCCTGGACAGGTCACCAGTCTATCACAGGGCTACACTTAGAGACAGACAACCAAGCACACTCACATTCACACCTACGGACAATTTAGGATCACCAATTAACCTCAACATGTTTTTGGACTTGTGGGAGGAAACCGGAGAACCCGGAGGGAACCCACGCTGCATGGGGAGAACATGCAAATTCCACGCAGAAAGATCCCGGGTGTCCTCACCGGGACACGAATCGGCAGCCTTCTAGCTGTGAGACAATGGTGCTAACCACTGAGCCACCTTGCAGCCCCTGAAAGAAGATAATAATGATATTTCGATAAAGTTAATTAATATCTTGTTCACAAAGTTATGGGTGTTGTATGCGCAAAAAGAAAACAACAATACAACCGTGGTATATCATTAACAATTCACACAATAACTTAGCAGGAAAATATTTTCTGTTTAAAAGGATTTAAAATGCCATTAGTTCAGGGTCAAACAGACTATCACACCTGGTGAGCAAGGCCACTGAACCTTTGTGTTCATGAGAAAAGCACATCTGTGTACTACCGTAGGCCACTTCCTCTTCAGTACTGCTTGCGCTCATATCTCTTACATGTTATATGCCAGGTAAAAAGGTCACTGCCAAACCTTCAGGAGACTGTGGTAATTTAACCCTTGTTTCCATTACGCTGGTTTCTTTTGTTCCACTGACGTGCAGTTGATCTAAAAAAAAAAAAATCACACAACTTCTACAACCTTTTCAGTACTTTTAAAGATAACTTTACCTAAAAAATAATAAAAATTTTTCCATGAATATAATATCTTCCTGCCTTAAGATGTAACGCCACACTGTTGCTTCCACTTAAATGCATGTATCTACGTAGTCCCTGGTACTCTCTGCTCGCAGCAGCTCGAGCACACCAGTTCGCCTAAGACTCTGCTCAAACACCGTTAAACTGCTCTACGCTACACAATGGCGAATTGTAATGTTGGAGTTATTCAGCCATACACCTTCAAAACAGAATCCAATCCTGAAAAGTGTAGTAACACAGAAAGCTCCACCCTGTACGTTACTACGATTGTTTGTTAGGTTTCAGGTTTGTGAACGTGTGAAACCCCTGAAAGTCTTAATCCATGTTTTTGAGGCTCTATACACATCAGTGCAATTTCAAGGTGGAAATTCTCAGTCATGCGGTTTGCTGCTTGTATCACCCATGATGTGTCTTTTGCCACATAAACAATATAAGGACATGGTGCCAAAAAAAAACGTGATTGTCACTGGTGGGGATCTTTAATACATTTGAAAGCACTGAAAAGCAAATTTAAAAAGTGTAATGGAAATGCACCATGTCAATAGTGTGCAGATGAAACTGTTATTAATGAAAACCGTTGCTAGTCAGCTCTGTGTATTATCCTCAGGACATTGTTTGAGGAGTTTTTCCAGATATATAGATCATTTTAGTATTGTCAACAAATACAGACCTCTCATCATTTTTTCTTAATGCTTTGTAACTAAAGTGAAACTATCTACCACACTGTATTATTACAAGTGAATGAATCTCAGTGAACTAATTCTTTAATTTTTACTCCCCATAATTTTAGGTTGTGTAACGCATTGCATTAATTTAAATGTATTTCTGTTTAATTTACTAAAGGTCATATTAAACTATTTTCTACTATCAGTAACAATTTGCAGTAAGTGGCACAAAGCCATTTGATGGAGGTGTAACTGTTTGTGGTTACATGTAATATAATGAAGCCTATTAAATTAAACCGCAAATGCAGTTCTTTCGCTTTTAACTCAGGAAGAAAGCTCCTTAGATTGTTGTTGGTTTTATATCACAAGCCTGAACATCGAGCGAATTGGGTGTGTACATGTCATACCAGCAACAGATAAGAAAGATAAATCACATTTGAACTGGTGTCAGAATGTTCTTGACATTTTGGCAAATGATTAGTTTTAGGGCCTTCCGCCTCGACTGTACTGATGTCTTAGCGCAATCAAGTGAGTATATAGAAAGATAAGAATAACTGTAATGTCTCGTTCCATAGCGTAGAGATATTTGCGCTGATATAAATGTAGATGGCAGTTTAAAATGTTAGATTTGTTTTGCAAATTTCAGGGTCATACCGAAACCACACGTCGACTTGTTTCTGTTTTCGTCAGTGCGATTAGAGAGAATGTTTTTCATATTTCACACAAATGACATCAGCGAAAAAGATCCTGCAGCTGACTCTTCTTCACATGGACTAATGCTGTTGGCTAATTGTCATAATTGTAACGCTCCATAGTGCATATACACAGGTTTAAATGCACTCTATGTAGCACTCAGGTGAACTTCATATAACTTCTGACCTTTTACCTTCTTGAAGCTCTCTTGTTGGTAATATGCACATGCTGGGTGGATCAACAACCCCCAAACCTTTTTTTCACAGGCCTCAGCTGTACGTGACTGATACGCCGTCTTAAGCCAGGAATACGCCCCATGTCACAGTCTACGTGTCTTCAGCTCCTTCTTAAAAACCACATATAAGCTTTTCACAGAACCGTTCTTTTCACCACAAGCATATATCTTATATCATCAGTGCTAAACTGCCACCAAGAACAGGGGTGTAGAGTTTCCTTGCTAGTATTCCTTGCTAGATTTAAAAAAACGCAAACATCAACATTGAGGTGATAAGGTGAATGAGGTCATAGCACAGATTACCGTATCAGTTTTACTGTTTTCCGTGTTGGTCACAAAGCGCTGACAACAATAACTCTACATTACAAACGGTTAATCTTGTTAACATTTAGAGATAATAACTTTCAGCTTTTTTTTGTCTTTGTTTATTGGTTCTTTTTTTATTATTCTCTCGTCTAATTCTTTGTTCTTCTCTCACCCGTATAGGGAGCTGTTAGAGCAAGTGGCTGAATTTGAGAAGACTGACTTTAAAGCCACCGATAAGGTGAGCGCAATGTGCAGCTCCGTCACATGCAGGATCTTCAAACATTACCATCGGCCGTCATTAATCATGTGTTTCGAGCAAATGTGCACCCGCACTGACGTCGGTAACCAAAGAGGAGCACGGCATTCCTTTGCATTTTAAGTAGTTTTTGTATGTCAGGTTGCCTGCCCTTCACATTTCTAGCCGCACGGCTCTGTAGTCACACATCACTGCGGTTGACGTGTGGTTTTTTAATGTCACATGGTTAAAGAAAAACAAATCAACTTTGTAATGCAATACTCCGCTCTTTCATTGGTTTGAGCGCTCACACCTTTCTCAAAAAGTACACACCAGTCGTCTTCACACTTCTAAGAAAAGCAAGACTTGACACATATAAAATGGTGTTTTAGTTTCACAGTGACATCTCAGTCACAGTAGTAGCAAAGTATATACAACATGACTGGAATGAGATGTAAGAAATGTTCTCCCACGGTGTAAAGTCTTAAACTTTATTTCCAGATAAACCAGGAACCAAGCAAACCCAAGTTGGCACCGCTGAATGAAGGCGGGGTGTCTGAACTCCTTAACAAGGTAAAGAAATACAGTGGATGGACATGGACTACATGCACAGATTGATTGCAAAGTTAAACTGCCATTATCATGTTTATACACTGATTCACGCCTAATGTATTTTTAATACTTGTTCAGGAGATAGCGAGACTACAGGAGGAAAATGACAAGCTAAAAGCCAGACTCCGGACTATAGAAACCCAGGTAACCTTTTAAACAAACTGGCAGCTTTTCCCATAATCAGTAGCAACAGTTATGAAACTAATTCTCTGCCTGATTTATTTTTATCAGGCCATGAGTGCACTAGATGAGAAAACCAAGGCAGAAAGAGCTCTAAAAGACCTTCAGAAGGTGCAAGGTGATCAGCAGGTACTGTTCTAAGTTTACATTTATCATCATATTCATGCTTTCCACTTTTGCTTTCCATTTCACTACTCTTCGTTGTTTTTGTTTTTTTTGTATAACTCTAAATTTTTCATTTCCATCTGAACACTTGCTGCGATTTGCTTTTGTCTGCTCACTTGGACCTAATGGTATGTATCCTCCTGATCAAAGTGTTGCTTGTTGCCTGTTGCTGTTAGGAATAGAGGGTATAAATTCTGCAATGGTTACTTTCCATTGAACCTGAGCCTGAGCGCTGTTTCTTTCCCCTTTTAAGCTGGCCGCTCAATCCCAGGAGATCAGCAGTCTAGAGGACACAGTCGCCGCTCTGAAAGAGGACTATGAAAGGTCTCTCAGTGCCAACGTTGCATCCCAGAAGGATTTGCAGGAGAACCTGATCTCTGCCAAACATGAGCTTCTGCGAGTGCAGGAGCAGTTGTCCCTGGCAGAGAAGGTATGCCACTGTGGTCTTTTATGGAAACTGACAGTAACCAGCCTCTGAGGGTAAAATCCACCAAATGTCAAGAGTTATTTCCTTTTCTAACACTTATTATTGAGCTGCTGAGACAATGGGGGGGTGTCATTGTTTGTAGCCACTTGTGATAAATGAAGCCTATATAAAGGAAAGCCCCTTTTTCTGTTTTTACAAGTTTTTATTCTAAACAAAGAATTATGCAGGAATGTATTGTACATGCAGTACCAGCATTAAAGATAAACTTGAACTGTTGTATGAATGTATTTTGCATTTTTGGCAAATAAGTATCAGGGCTTGTTTGTTCAAATATAACCAGGTGGTACAGAAATAGAAATGCATATCAAGCATAACAAGATGAAAAGTATTTTACGGTTTAGAGAAATGTGTTCTAAAATTAATATCATTGGCAGTTGTTCAATCTAACTGTGAAAGCGCGCTTCAGTCTGTTTCTCTTTATGCAAGTAGAGATGGAGGAAGCAAGGCTTTTCCACGTTCACTCGCATCCCTTACAACCTTCAAAATCAGAGTAAAAGGTCACGCAGCTGACATTTCTCAACGTGAGCTGTTGGTCTGTTTGATGAGTGCATGAGGTTTATTGGGTTGATTTTTTTTTTTTCTTTGCCTACTGACCGTCCCAAGAGTTAGAACAAAACAAGGTGAAGCAGGGTTTTGTTGTCATGCTGTGCAGACCTTGAATAACCTCTCGGTTGATGTTAGACAAACCTCGAACACTTTTCAGAACTAAAAACTTGTTTTTACACAGCTTACTTGACCCTGTAAAAACTGCAAAGTTATTTTACCTCAATTTTAAACAACAACACATTTGCTTTTTAATATATTTGCAATTTTAAAATTATTTGGTTTATTTAAGATTTTAATTTTGTGTCCCTTACTGTGGTTTATTATGTTTAAAAGCACTTTATATTGCCCCAGTATATAAAATGCTCTATACAAACAGAGCAGCCTCGCCTTGCTTTGCCTTTATGTGCAGCTCACAGTAGCTCACATGAGGTCAGCATTCACCAAATGTCAGGTATCACTCACTGTACTGTCAAGCTGTTATTGAGATGTTGGGGTGCATTGCGCTGTTTTTTTTTTTGTTTTTTTTGTTAATGTTTGGATGTATGTGTCCTGTGCAGGAGCTGGAGAAGAAGTTCCAGCAAACTGCAGCCTACCGCAACATGAAAGAGATCCTAACCAAGAAGAACGAGCAGATTAAAGAAATTAGAAAACGATTGCAAAGGTTAGTATTCATCAAGAAATGCAAGATATAAATGCAAATTTAATCCGAATTCTTCCGTATGATACAGAAAGCACAATTTTAAAATTTAAATCACTGTGGATTGCCAAAAACATTTGGCAGTGATGTAAAACAAGAAAAAACACGATTGGCACTTGTCTAATTTCATATAACTTTCTGTTTCAGATATGAGCCCAATGAATGAGTTCTACCTAAGACAGCTGGTTTGACAGATGTCCACAGGGTAAGACAGGACCAAAATTTACAACTGTGGTTTGGACAGGAAACCGTCAGTTCCACTGCTGTGAGACAAGAGAGACAGAAAAAAGCACTTCCACAAGGAATTGTTTATTCACGCTTTATCTGGCATCTTCAGTAGTTATTGGCTTTAGTAAAGAGCAGGAGCGGGGAGGTTGGCAGCACACACAACTGAACACACAAATGAAATAGTGACCGCCGTGCTTTTTTTCTACGTCTCAATTTGGAGCTCACTTACAGTAGCTAGCAGACTTCCCTCAGTGCTCTATGCAATTACTAACACGTCCCTGTTTGAAGAGGCCTTGTCCGTTTGCTGAACTGGGCAAATATGTACTGTCTGCCTGAAGCTTTGCAGTCTTATTTATCAGATGGTTACAGGTAATATTTAGCCTTCTAATACTGGGTAATTGATTACTGATGTTTTGCTGATCGGTCTTAATTTTAGCTGCCCCTTTTGTTGACAAAATCCAATCATGATTGAGTTAGCTCCAAGCTATTTTCTTTATTATAGTGAACAGCTTAGTAAAAAATAAAAATAAAAAAGTATTTTTTCTTGACCCCTGAGGTCATTATTGCTTTAATTTCTTACCTAAACATTTAATAGCATTTCAGACAAAAATATTTCCCATGACCTGACATTGTATGAAAGCCAGATCATTGGAAATATTGCAAAATGTATTACTTTTTTTTTCTGCTCTTGCATATTGAATGACATGGATAGTGATCTAGAATGATTTCCCTACTTCCCTACACAAAGGGCATAGAATATTTTTGTGTGGAATCTTTAACTGTGTACTTTTCGTATTGCTGTGGGTGATGGAGTGTAAGAGAAAAAGAAAATCAATATATACATGATGTTCATGAAGTAATGCTCTTGTAGAGTATGATACATCTACCCTATATTACAATAGATGTGCATTTGTTTGTATTGTGCAAAGTATGGGGTAATAAAAGCTGTTACCAAACATATGTATTGTCATTTTCTGTTGGTTAAGTCAGTGCAGGTGACCATCATTAAAATGCTTTCAACTTTTCACTTTAGGTTTAGGGTGTAACTCTCATCTTCAGCTTCAAGGGATGTCACATAGGTTTAAAAATAGCCTTTAATAGCAAAATGTTTCTAAAAAGATCGATTTTGGCAATACTTCACTGCTCTGCATGTTTTGACCTTATGTATAGATCAGACAGTCACATAGGCAGGGTGAAAACAATAAAAAGTTGTAAGAAACTGAATGAATAACAATGAACTTCACACTAAAGTAATGCTGCTGTTTATGGAACAGTGATTTAACTAGGGGGCGCCATGCTGCAATAAGACACAGGGCATGCACAAATCAGAATATTCAATTCAGTTCAAGTTAGAGGACCTTTTAACTTGAGCTGAACACAAAACATTCACATTAAAACATATATTAACAATAAGAGGATGTACAGTGTATTCTTTGTGTATGTGTCTGTGTGGGTTGTTCAGGTCACTCACTTTTCCTCCATCACTAATTTTTTGAATGTTTCTTCACAAACTTTGGGTGACATGAAAATGTATAATTCTATTTCTGTGACCTGTGATCTCTGCAGTTTACTAATAGCAAGTACTTACGAGGATGTGGAGTCAAAAAAAAATAATCTTTTGTTCAGGTATTTTCATATTAAGACCCCAGTATTGGTTTGTGTGCTAATATCCATCCATGAATACTCCAGTGCCATAGTGACATGGTGTTTCAAGCTGGGTTATACTTATCTATAAAAACATATCTATCTCAGTGGAACATTTCAGATGTCCCTTTCCCCAGCAGTGTTTTCCACTTTCTCCTGCAGGATCCTGAGGTGTTCCCAGGCCAGATGAGATATATAATCCCTCCAGTGAGTTCTAGCTTTACCCAGAGTCTCCTCTCAGTTGAACATGTCTGGAAAAACTCTAAATGAAGGCACCCAGGAGGCATTTTAACAGATTCCCCAACCAACTCAGCTATCTTTAAGGCTGAACCCGTCCACCCTGTGATGGAACCTTATTTCAACCGCTTGTATCCGCAGTTTCATTTTCTTGGACTCTACTCAGAGCTCATGACCACAGGTGAGGATCGACTAGTAAACCGAGAGCTTCGCCTTCCAGCTCAAGGTCCTCATCACTGCAATAGTCCAGTACGACACACATTGCTGCCAATGTAAAACCAATCCATCTGTCCATCTCAGGTTCCATTTTCCTGTTACTTGGGATGAAGATCCCAAGATACTGAAGTTACTTCACGTGGTGTGTAGCTGATCCCCAACCCACTGGCCTCCAGCAGAGATCCATGTCCTCAGACTTGGAGGTGCTGACTTTTATCTTAGCTGCTTTACTCTCAGCCATTAACCTTCCTAGTGTGCGCTGCAGATCACGGCCTGTTGATGTCAACAGGACAACATCATCTGGAAATAACAAAGATGCAGCTCTGAGGTTCCCCAACCGGACACCTTCCTAACCCTGGCTGCGCCTTGAGATGTTCTCCATGAGCATCACAAACAGGATCAGAGACAAGGGGAGACCTTGGTTGAGTCCAACACCCACTGAAAGCGTGTTTGACTTTGCGGCGAGAATACAAACACACCTGTCACTGTGGTTGTTCAGGGATGACTTGTAGCAGTACACTCGTAGCAGCCTCTTCAGCAACTCTGCAAGGTTCAACAATCTCAGTCAAACTGAGAACGGACTGTCATGCCAAACTTACATTTTTTTTTGTGAATGCATCTTTTTTTAATCATAGTAAGCAGGGCTGTTTTAATGTTATGTGTATTGGTGTTGCATAATTTCATGGTAAGTCAAAGAGATTGATCAGTTTAGTAAGATAAGATAAACTTCCCTAGCAGAGAACCTTGCAGCAACTTGCTAATGTTAAAACTCTACAATGGTCTGATAACTACATCACTTGCACAATGCTGTTGTGCAAAAGTTTGTTTTTGTTTTGACGTCAACACATTTAACCACTTCATCAGCTTCTGCAGCAATTGTCCTGAAAAGACATTGCTGTTTTGTCTTGTTTGTCACAACCAAAGTGGATAGAGACAGTGGCAGAGGAAGAAACAAAGGTGGTCAATCAACCGTCAACCCCCTGTTGTTGTGAGTGAAACGCTTAAAGCCACAGTATCCTGACTTAAGCATGTGTTAGGTTTGCTTCATGTGCAGGAGTTGTGTACATGATGTGCTTGTCTTGTGCAGGAAAAAGAGGCGGGGGTGAAACTTACCTATAAAAAAAAAGAAAAAGATTGTATGCTCATGAAACTGATTGCCTTTTAAAAATCTTTGGGCTGTGCTGTGATGTAGAAATAATTTCTAACCCATTTGTTTTTGTTTTGTGTTTCATAAATAAAAGATTTTAAAAAAGGATTGTGTACTGTTTACAGCTAAACAGTTGGCACCATGGGAAAACTGATGATAAAGTCAGATGTGATGCAAACAGGTGCCGATCGGTTTATGAAATAAATCACTGCAAGCTGGTGTACAGGAAGTGGTGACGAGCGTCTCTCAGTACCAAACTCAGCAGACATTGACAGTACTTTCCCACAATATGGGGCAACGGTTAATATATGTCAGACTAGTGTAGTGTACCCAATACTGAACAGCTTCCTGTTCACTCATGAGGCATTAAAGGGGTTTTCTCAGTTTCACATGTGAGGTACAAGCTTCTGTTTTATGGTTTTTCAGCAGAACCGGCAAGCAGACGTCTACTTGTGAGAATTTCAACGGAGTTGCAGAATATAAGGTGAAGTCCAGGATGCCAGGAAACAGAAAGTTACTGTCATCTGGGATTTTTAATGCAGGTGCTGCATATTTAGACAACTCTGACATGGAATTCAGTCACCGGAAATCAGTGTAGCATATCAGTGTGGTCGTATTATATGCCAGACGGCCTGCCCTTCACTTGTTCAGAAATCATGGTTCAGGTGGTAAAGCAGGTTGTCTACTAATTGCAGGGTTGCCTCCATGTGCCAAAGTATCCTTGAACAAGAACTTTAAAAACTACTGTATGAAGCGCAGACCATTTCCCATTTAATTTATCTCTCAAGATGCTAGATGGCAAATTAAGGGACTACAGTTCATCCTGAGAGGAACACGAGTGTCAAGGTATCCCAAAAAGCATTACGATGTTTTATCTGGTAACAGTGTCTGTGTAGATTCTCAGTCACCCAGGTCATGGTATTCATCCTGAGAGCATGAAACTTCTTCAAGGCAGCTGGACTTATTCAGTTCAGAAATCGAAAAACCCTCTTGGATGAAAAGTGAAACATCTTAAAGAACCAAAAAGAGAAGTCTAGTTGTTTTTTTTTTACTGAAGCTCTGGACAATGATTGTACAAAACTTTGTAGAAATCCATCCAGCTGTTTCAATTTTTCATTACGAGCCACAGCTGGTCAACTGATTGACAGACTGGCCAGTAGTTTGGCAAAGTCCAAAGCTGTGGAACAAGTGGAACTTTGGTTAAGAATATTCTGTCAACTGCTGTTTCCATGGTGGTTTACTTCATCCCTGCCTTCATATCTGTCTGTCACCATCGCTGCGGTATCAGTGATTCAGCTTGTAAAACTTTTGGTGAGTATGTCTCTGCCACCAAGGGCTGTTCAATATCCGACACCTTCAGAAAGATTGTGATAAAGATTAACAGACGTTGAAAAAAACTCTCAGTCACTTCCGAGAATGATTGTTTAATGTTCCAGTTTTAATCTTGATATAATGTTCTGTGAAATGACATCTCTTCAACGAACAGCATGATGTTGAAGTCAGAGAATGAAGCACTCAACTGGCATCTGTGTCCATCTGCAAACTTGATACAACGCAAATAATCTGGATTATTCAGGCAGATTGCAAGGTTTTCCCCTTTTTAATTGTCATGTACCGCACTCTGGAAAGTTGTAACTGCTAAAAGCATGCTGCCCTTATCACACTATTCTGGTGACTAATCTATGGCCCTTCAACCTTTTGTCACTTTGGAGGCTTTGTCAGGCCTTAACACCAGTATTCAGAGATGTGAGGTGGTCATGCGAATTGAAGCATTTTCTAAACCAGGAGAGTTGACCTAAATGATCATATATTTAAAAAACAAAAAAGACATTTCAAAATATTAGGTGTGGAATACAGACTGTCATGTTTATACTTAAAAAAATGGACGATGGGTGCAGATTTAAGGTGATTTCATTGTGTATGTTGTGTTTATTGTGCATGATGTGCCGCCTGGCCACTGTGATTCCTTGGAACGGTGGCCTCAAACGCATGTGCCTGTATTATTCATTCTCATCTGATGGTGACAAAGGGAGTTCCCTGTACGTCAGTGTGGTCAAAACTGAGACACACAACCTTTAATTGTTCGAAATCTGAAGAACATAAATCCTCATCTTCTGTCATCATGTGTTCGTGACGGGCAAACAACAGAAAAAAAAAGGTGTAAAAGGCCAGGAAGTGAAAACTGTGAAAACTATGAAACTGTGAAACGGTGACACCCCACGAGCCTTTATGAGAGCCATTTTACTTTCATTTGTTTATGTATGTTTTTTCAACTTGTGGTTTCTTGGAGCAGTGGACTGTTGTTATGATTTCTGTGCTCAGTGAAAAGACTGAAAAGACCCAAAACATAAACTGGATAATTTCTTTTCAAAGACTTTTCTGTCTTTACAAGGGGGAAGTTAAATTCCCAGTTCTGGCTGCTTTTGTTTGTGGGCTTTTTTTTTTCTTTTTTTTTTCTCAGTTTTTCCCGTTGTTTTTGTTTTTCGTGTTGACATGTGTGTCGTTCTCATATTAAAAAACACATTTAAAGGCATCCTGTTTCTCCTTTTTCAGAAGTGACAGAAGTGTCCACTTGCTTGGTTTTGCTCTGGGTGGGTTAATGGTCAGTTTAGGTTGTTTTCACTCCTTTATATTCTTCAAAGTTAAGTTAAAGATCCCACCTGGTGAAAATACTTTTTTTTTTTTTAAACTTCATTAATATGTCCATATGGTGTTTAAAATAAGTAGAAAACATAACATATTTTAACTAAATGTTGTGGTACCCATATCCTTACTTCTCGTTGCAACTAGTGGTGGCCTGTTAACTGCTACACAAAAGTAATCCAGAAAAAATAAAAGTGTATCACTTTGGTACTCAGTGGACATCTGATGCAAAATTGGTGGCCTTTTTCTTCCATACATGTGTATACGTACTTTGTGACCCTGTGATTTTTACTGAAGTGGTATGAATGTACACTTTATGTGCATTTGTGACACAATCTATTGGTATGTTTTTCATTGGAGACCCAAACATGCAGGTTTTGGGTAGAATCTTTTCCCTTTTGGACATTGAAGACTGTGTATATTCACAATGCATGATGGGAATGATTCATGTCCTCCTAACAAACTATGAGGCGTGTCAGAAAAGTTCCAGGACTGGTGTCACAAAAGATAGATTTTAAAACCCAAACTATAAATTACGAGTTTTCCCTTTCAGACCATCAACCAGCACGTCTACAAAGAGATCCTGCGGCCTTGGCTTCGTTCAGTGCGTGAGAAGAGACGAGAGTTGTGGCAGGATAAGTCGTGGCTGCTTCACCATGACAACGCCCTGAGCATCCCATAGTTCCTGGCTGAGAAGAACATCGCCGTGCTGGAGCAACCTCCCTACTCACCCCAGCTGGGATTTTTTCCTCTTCCCCAAGCTCAAGGGGGTCATCAAGGGAACCTGTTTTGAAGACGTGGACGACATCAAGATGGCTGTGACGACGGAGCTGAGGAGGATCCTGGAAGAATCGTGGGAGGCTGGGAAAGTGCGTCAAACTTCAAAGGTGAAAACTTGTAGTTTGTAGTTTGGATTTGAAATTTTTTGTGACACCAGTCCTGGAACTTTTCTGACACATCTTGTAAACAGGGAAGGGTTGATTTATTCACCGCAGGAATAGCGACTGAAATCATTGCAATGCACAAGTGAATAAGTTGTGGACATGACGTCATATGAAATAAAGATAAAGATGCACAATCTACTGAAACTATATAATTCACAACAAAGCCACTGCCTTAAAGCTATAATTAGGTCACTGTGCATCTACAACCTGGGACCTGACATCTTTTTTTGTCTGCAAATGAAAGTTTCATTTTGACTTTCCACAGTTTGTACTCATCTCTCTTCTATAGTTTTACATTCCCACAGATCAGAACTCTACAGTCCAATAGCTGCATTTTGGCAGTTAGTATGTGGCAGGTAGTGAGTGAAACCTCTCCGTCTGCTACTTTCTTCAACGGCCTGTTCCCAGGAGAACACTCATCTAATCATGACACAGCCGGACGCCTCGCTGTGATTCAAACCGAGAAACACAACCAGCAATTGGTTGAAATCTGAAGACCCACACGCTCATCCTCCCGCGCCAAGTTGGGTTTGTACGCTAAGACTGTAGAGGTTACGTCAGGCTGGTAAGTGACGCTGTGAGAATACAGCAACACACTTCTCATTTACAGAGAGGCTTCACAAGAGGCAAGAAGGCAAGAATCACACACACACAGCAAGAAAGAAATACTTTTGACTGGTGATGATGTAAAACCATTTAAAAAGTGAGTGTCACTCCTCAATTGACGTGATCTCTTTATTTCTTACGAGGTATCAAGGTGACTGTGTTTTCTGTTATAGTTTTGGCTTCAGATTAAACAGTTGACTTGAGAGGGACTTTCTGTTGCCCTATTTTGTGCCAGTGTGGTCAGCGGCATGACTTTTATAGTTTTGTTTTCTGTACTCGTGGCATTACCCGTGAAATTTCTACTTCCCTGTCTTCACACTGTTTGTTTATAGGCACTTGTCACATGATGCCTTTTTAACTAGGTCATAATTGATAATGAAAAACATGCACTAATGCTGTAGAACAGTACACATGCTGCTGTATGAAGCAGAAATATGTATGTTAGAGGACTGGTGCTAGCGCTCTATTAATTATATAGTAATTATAAGCATTGATACAATTTAAAGGGCTGAGTTATATAAAAATTCACCCCCTTACAATTCTCATAAACTGAGAATTTAGCCAAATAGAGACCAACACCGTTTGGCTGAAAAAAGTATGACAGGAAATGAAATAAAGGTTACTGTATGTGTGGAACGCAGCCCTCTTTATTATCACATTATATAATCGTTTTATATCTGCAGGACCCCTCTGATTGCGATGATTATGATACAGGGGTGACTGAAGACCCCGGCAAGTACAACAGAAGTTGGCTAAGAGATGTTCATGGTCGGTACGAACCGCCGCTCTCAACTTCTCCAGCAGCATGTTCCTTCTCACCTGCATTAGCGCGGACCGCTACATTGCTATTGTGCAGGTCACGAAGGCCCAGAACCTGAAGAAAAAGAGGCTGTTGTAAAATGGTGTACCATCTAACTTTCATGCTGTAAAAAAAAAAAAATTCTCGCCAATTTTCAACTATAGTTTCTTGAACAATTTACGGCTATCTTAACAGATTTTTCTTGTTTTATTCAATTACAGATCTTAATTAGTAAAATGACTGGCTTTTAAAAAAAATTTGGTAATTAAAATGGTAATTTATTTATTATGGGCTGCAAGGTGGGCCAGTTGGTTAGCACTGTTGCCTCGCAGCAAGAAGGTCGGCGGTTGACATCCCGGTGGGGGCACCGGGATTTTTCTGTGTGGAGTTTGCATGTTCTCCCCGTGCGGCGTGGGTTCTCTCCGGGTTCTCCGGCTGCCTCCCACACAGTCCAAAAACGTTGAGGTTAATTGGTGATTCTAAATTGTCCGTAGGTGTGAATGTGAGTGTGCTTGGTTGTCTGTCTCTAAGTGTAGCCCTGTGATAGACTGGTGACCTGTCCAGGGTGTCTCCTGCTTTCACCCTAAGTCAGCTGGGATTTTGAACCATTTTTAGTGGTATTTTTAATTTATTTATTTTTATTTATTTTTACAGTGCAGCACCTCTTAGTTTAAACTCTACCTACCTCTGATCTTTATACTAAGCTAAGCTAACTATCTTTTGGTTCCAGCTTCATATTTGTGGTATCAAGTTGTTCACCTAGCAATTCAAAATCAAATCAAATCATATCAGGTTTATTGTCACTTTGCTGTACATACACAGTAGTACAGGCAAGATGAGAGAGCGTTTCTTCAGGATCATTAAAGTTTTGCGGAATAAACGCCTGGGATGGGCAATTACCAAGAAAACCAAAACTTTGACTTATAATGTTAAACTTTTATTCTTTTTTTAAAAACATGGTTTCCTTTTATGATAAAGCGGCGTATTCCATTAACACTTGGTTCAAAGCAAAATCCCAAATAGACCTCCTCGACGCTGTCACACTTATTTATTCAGGCACTTTAGCAAGACAGATGATGGTTGCATGCACAGTGATTTTAAGCGCCGTCTCACACTGCCTGAACTTGCACTGAAACTACTAAAAAACAACGAAACTTACAGCATCTCATCACAGACTAACTTGTCAGGGTTTTCGGTTTCATGCATCACTCATCTGCAAGGCTAAGTGCTCCACCTGTGTATACAAAGAGTTTCACAAATTGGGCCAAGACTTCATACAACCTGATCAGCTGAGGAGGAGAGTGTGGGCGCTTTATTTCCAGCCTGATGGTCAAGGTTCAGTGGGCGTAGCAGTGCAGCTTCCCCATGAAAGTAGCGCACTATTGTCATTGTTCACACTCACACTTTGAAGCAAGTTTCAAGTTAGTGCATGTCTCACTGTAGTGTAAACTCTACTTATTAAAGAAATACGCTGCAGTTTAAGGCTGTGTGTTGTTCTATTCTACCAGCTGAGACAGAGATGGAGGGATAACGAGCAGCACGTGATTTCTGTGGTTAAAGGGAAACCATATAAACAAGTGAAGAGGAGTCGGGTTGTTGCATTTGACAGCTGTACTACCCAGACAACAAAAGCAGCACCGTGACTGTAAGGTTGCTCTCCTCATCTCTTCCTAATGGGTAAGTCAATCTATGCACTTTAAAATTAGCTTCTATTTCACTTTAAGTAAAATTTCCTCATATGTTAAACTTTTTATTGAACTTTTTACAGTGTTTTGATTTTTTTTCTTATTTTAACGTCCTCTTTTTTTTTTTTTTTGTAGATTACACGGACGAACCATTTACAGTTATGACCACAGGATATTCTCTTCAAACTGTAAGTGTGACTTTGACATCTGTCGTCTTGACAACAGTAAAAACCCATGAACCAGTAACGCAGAAATACAGAATATCTGAGTAGATGCAAATAAGTAAATATGTAAATGCAGGAGCAGAATACGGAAGGTGATACTGCTGACACCGTCGACATCAGTGTTTTATTCTAACACAGTATTTAAAATAAGATTATAAAGAATACAGTAAAACCTAATTCAGGATGCTGTTTAAATTGGGCAAATCAGAATTTGTATAAAACACACACTCCTTACTGAATATGATGAGTTTTTTTGTGCCTGTTTTTGCTTTTTTATTGTTAAATGTTTCTGATGAACGAGTAAAAGAATGCATTTCACAATCCAAGTATGGTGGATTTATCTAACGTAGACATCTGCAGGGTCGTAAAATGCCACAGTCTAAGACGTATCAGCATCAAATTTTCCATTGTTTGCTAAAACCCGCCGTTTATCTCTGCCCTATATCTAAACTTGATGCTTGTTGGGGTACTGAGTTCTGCAGCGGCCCCCTTTCTGGAGCCCCTCAGGATGGTTCACCCCCTCAGGCTTGGATAGCAGCAGGAAACTGTGCGCAGCAGTGTGGTTTCTCCTGCAGACACAACACCTGCACCTAACAGCAGGGTTTTTTTTTTCTTTTACGCACTCTGGTTTAGCACAGACGGTGTTTGATGTCATTTCATGTATTCCCACTAGAAGCATATTATGTTATGAAACTGTAGAGCAGTTAGGGAGTTTTGTAATGAGGAGAGAAGAAAAAAAAGGTATGACAGGAAATGACATAAAGGTCACCATATGTGTTGCACGCGACCCTCTGTACCGCCACTTTATAGAATTGTTTTTTGTCTGCAGGACCCCACTGATTTCGACGATTATGACACGGGGTCAACTGAAGACCCCGGCATGTGCAACAGAAGCTGGGTAAGAGAGTTTCGTGGCCGGTACGAACCGCCCCTCTTCTGGATGATCTTTATCCTTGGCGCTGTGGGCAACCTGCTGGTGGTTTGGATCTACACCACTGTGCGCAACCGCCTGAAAACAATGACCGACGTGTACCTGCTAAACCTGGCTGTGGCTGACCTCCTCTTCCTGTGCATGCTGCCCTTCTGGGCTGCTGATGCCATCAAGGGCTGGGAGTTTGGCGTCAGTCTCTGCAAAATGGTGTCCGCCGTGTATAAGATCAACTTCTTCAGCAGCATGTTCCTTCTCACCTGCATCAGCGTGGACCGCTACATTGCTATTGTGCAAGTCACGAAGGCCCAGAACCTGAAGAAAAAGAGACTGTTCTACAGCAAACTCGCCTGCCTCGGTGTCTGGCTTGTCTCCACTCTCTTGGCCCTCCCTGAGTTTATCTTCGCCCAGGTGACGACAGAGGGGCAATCGTCCTGCCGTCTGGTCTACATAAACAATGCCTACAACCGGACTAAGATCCTGGTGCTGTCCCTGCAGATTTGCATGGGCTTCTGCATTCCTCTGCTGGTTATGTTCTTTTGTTACTCTGTAATCATTCGCACACTTCTGCAGGCCAAGAGCTTTGAAAAGCACAAGGCTCTGCGCGTCATCTTTGCTGTGGTTTTTGTGTTTGTTCTCTCTCAACTGCCTTACAACAGCATGCTGATTGTGGAAGCTGCACAGGCAGCTAATGCTGCTAACTTCGACTGTGAAACTGTAATTCATTTTGATGTAGCCGGACAGATCGCCAAGAGCCTGGCGTTTACTCACGCTTGCCTCAACCCGTTCCTCTACGTCTTCATTGGAGTTCGGTTCAGGGAAGACCTGCTAAGGATTGTGAAGAATTGTGCGGGCACTCTGAGCCAAGGAGGCTTCAACAAAGTACCGGCAACTGTCAAACGTCCTTCTGTCATGTCAGACACTGATACCACCCCTGCCCTTTCCATATAAATGCCCCATGTCCTTTAACTGCCCAAACCTGAGACCTGAGCCAGTTCAGCATTATCAGAGTTTTATCTCATGCATTACTTGCTTCTAGCAGAGCAACGATAACATTTACAACCTCGAAAGCAAAAACATCTTTGTAGTTTACATTCATACTCTCACATTTACAGGCACAAGTTTTTCACTGGAATCACTGTATAAACTGTATATTACTGTAAATACTGTTTTTTAAAAAAAAAAGTGTTTGTAGTTTGTTCTGTTGTCTATTTGTGGTGTGCTGCTGTAACTGAACAAAAAAAAAAAAACAATTGTATTTTTGACTTTCTGGTACAAAACAACTATTAAAAATAAGAAAAAAAAATCTGCAGTTCATGTCCCTGATATTCTGCCTCCACAGCAAAAAAAACGTGAGAATGAAACTTACTCTCAACCATAAATGAACACAGGGGTTAAGTGAGGTGATCAGGTTTTATCTGGGAAAGTAGTCAAGTGTTTTCAATGGTTTAACGTTTGTAGTGTGGTGGGAAACAACGTGGCGAGATCAGTCCACAGTGCTTTCGGTCTGACTAGACATCCTCCTGTTGATAGTCTGTGCCATCTTTTGTGCCGACACTCTTAATTGCTGAACCTTGTCTTAGTTGTTTGGATATGACTTGGCAGTTTCACAGTGAATGCTGACGGATGCCCAGTCAGACTGGCATGAAAGATGTTTCCCAACGGCTGTCGCTCAGACCAACAGACAGACAGACAGTTGCCACCAGCCTTGAAAAGTTTCCATGCTCTGCCGCAACTTTAGTCCGACGCACAGGATTTCAGTTTCACCAACTTCAAAAAGTGCCTCACTTGAACCTCGGATATGTAGGTTTTGAATAAAAGGCCCACATCTGTCTGATATTCAATACAAAACCAGGCAGAGGAGGGTGTTAAAAACAAACACTTCTCAGGTCTGTGCATCTCAAAAGCGATACCATCAAAGCAATTCAAATCTTAAGGGTTTGATGGTGACTTGTTTACGTCTTCTGTTCTCTAAGATGAGTTGCGGGTCACATATTCACGGTTTCATGCCGCTCTGAAGCGGAAACTGTGATTGTTGATTAGATTTAGACTGGCATGAGAAAACAACAAGATTCAAAGTTGAGGTTTTAGGCCGGCATCAACGTTGGTTTAAAGCAAAACCCCTGCCACTCCAATTTTACAGTTTGAAGGAACCAAAAAACTAATGTAAAAGTTTAATCGTATGCTTGATTTATGAGAAGGACGACGGGTTGACCGGCAAGACAAATATTTCCCTTAATATAATTAGCATAAATGTATAATTTGGTTACAATTTGACGTTTTCTGGGATAAAGATCTATTTATTCACGATCGTACAGGTTTTGATTTTGGCATTCTGTCGTAGCCGAAGTTGATTCTTGTGATTCTTCGTGTTGGCTTAGAGCTGGAATTCAAAATGAGAGACCCTAAATTGCTTCTTATGTAATTGCCGTACCTGTTTACACATTATGAGACAACTAGAGGAGACAGGTGGCAGACGAATGGGACGTCACACAGAACATGTTGGCAGTGCAAAACAAATTCTGAGGTGTTATTGTGGGCACTGAGGTCGGCCTCAGACAACTGCTGCCTACCTGCAGAATTCAGGTGACACCACAGATGCGTATTTACCACCTTTTCTTGCTGCTTCTTACTCTCACGACAGGAAACCATCAATCTTGTCAATAACAGTCTGTTCCCTCTCGACTTGGTGAGGCCTCACCACGGCTGCCTTCGGTGGCCCCGGCGGGTGACTAGAAATGAGGACGAGGGCAATATTACCAGTTTTCTGAGTGGCTTTATCTGTAATCTGAACTAGTTCAGTCTGAAAGCCTTGGTTTGATTGCAACAATACAATTGTAATGTAATAGATTTCTCAATCCAGTGTTTTGCTCATTTAGGATCAGTCCCCTACTTTTTTTGCGATGCAAACCAACGAGAAGTGCATCTTATGTTTTTTTAAAAAGGGGAAACTACAACATTTCCTTTTGCGCAATGCAGAAAGATAGTTTTTTGTTTAAAAGCATGAGAACTTTGCCATGTGAATCAACTAGATGCTCAGAGGATCAAGTGTGTTCAGTGGGAGACAAACTAATGACTTCTTTGGAGGTTTTGGGGGAAACCTTATGAATCAACTCCAAAAAAGCACCGGTTTCACGTTTCTCCCATTTTAAAAATAATAATCAACATTTAAAGAAAATTAGTATTGTAATGAATTCACTTTTATCAGTGGTTTCCAGCATTTTTTGTGACGTGTACCCCGATAGTTTTATAACACGGCCTTGAATGCCCCTTTTTGTTCCACTTTGATGGGATTTCACAGCAGAGAAAACGTAGTGTGTTGGACTCTCGTCTGCACATGTGAATACACAAAACAGATATCCAGAACCTGCCAGTGTTCAGATTTGATGTCTTTGCATTCGTACTTCTGTCTCTTAAAGCTGCAAAGACTTTTTTTTTTTTTTTAAACCACTCATCAATCACGTTTTTATGTTTTTGGAGGCAAGTCAGCGTTTCCATGCACTCTGGATTCAGCATACTCTGCTGATAACTTGTTACAACTGACTTTGGTAGGTGGAAAACTGATGCATATCACGTGCAGTCATGTGCAATGGTGAAGAACCTCAGAAGATTCCTTGAAGCTCTTGTGTTCCGCCTTTAAAAGTGTAATATGGTCGTTTAGTGTGAAGAAAATAAAAAATGTAAACATGAAAAGCAAACTAGAGATCAGAATCTAGTGGTTTAAGTAGTAATAAGGTCACTTAAATAAAAATACCAATACAATGATGCAAAATAATTGTATTAAAAACTGAGTAAAGTACAGACTTAGTGTCAGCAAAAACAGAAAAAGGAACTGCAGAAAAATGACCCCTGTGATTGATTTTACTGCACTAGCTGACCGGAGTGATGGTAGTTTTAAGTTCCTTGTAGTTTAATGCAACTAAAGAGTCAGGCCCTTCCAAATGTTCACTGAGATATCTGAGAAAAAAAGAAAAACAAACTATGGGATGTGACACAAACCTGTTGCTTTTTTTATTTGCTTGCTTTTTTGTTTGTTTGAAATATCCAACAGCATCAAACAGTTATTTAAATCAAACCATCTGAGGAGTTTACAGAGCGAATCTGGTAGAACTACTATGAAGCTCAGGGTCTCATTTGAAACTTTTGTGTTAAACTGCTAAAATCTAAAGATAAGGAAGTTTAATATCTCTCAACGTGTTGAATTTTTGTACACTGCTCATCTGCAAAATTAACACCACTGACTGGGGAAGTGAACAACGCTCATCATGTTCTGCTAAAAATACCCCGGATTATCACAATCATGTGGATGCTATTTGGACACGTACCACCCACCTAAACATCGCTGCACGCGTACTCCACGGCAACAGCACGTCGACGGCTGCCTCCAGCGGGATAATTCACCCACCGTGCTTCACCAACACCCAATACCGCACTGCAAAACAGCTCTGGAATGACTCGAGGAACACGACAAGAAGCCCAAGGCGTTGACTCAACCCCCATGGTATTGAGCCTTCACTGGATCCACAAAAGTCTAGAGGTTCATGGCCTGTTGGGTCAGATCTGTTTGGGCAGCACAAGAGGAACTTACACATTATTACACACTTAATCACAGAAGTAATAACAAACCTCTTATGCAGGATACATTTTAGTATTTACCTCCTTAAGTGGAAAGCAATTTGATTAAAATGAGGTACAATCACCTCAACATCCGTCTGGATCACACAAATTTCTCATTCTCCAAAAACCCCCTGTGGAAAATTGCCACAGAATCAGAATCAGTTTTATTGCAAAGCAGGTTTTCACATACAAGTAATGTAGAAAACCTGCAGAAGGATGAAAAGATTTTTTTTAATGCATGTGTTGCAAGTCAGTACAAAAAAAGGAGCAGGAGTCAAATCAAGAGCAAGTGTAACGAATCCAATGAATTTTAAAAACAGTAAAAAGTAATAGAAATATTTCCAGTATGCAGGAATTTGCGAATTAATCTGACAATGTGTAAGGTTACATAGTCTGTTATGCAAACAACTTAAAATGTGCAAAAGAAGCAAATACTAATAATTTAGTTTACATATAAAAAAGGTGTCAAACCGACTGGTAGAACATCAGCTTTCCTACATTTCATTACAAGCTCGTGTTAGTTTTATCCACAAGGTGGTGTAGTTTGCACAGCAGACTGACTGAGCCTGTGGTTTGGGTTTCAGTGAGAGTTACCAGAAAACACACAAGTTGTGCAATGAAACCAACCCCATCTAGTGGCGGTTTGGATGGGAGACCGAGCGTCGGGGGGCAGCGCTGGATGCAAAGTTCATTACTTTTGTGGCGTCCTGGTGAAACAATCCCAACGAGCTCCTAATAGACAGGCAGATTGATAGCATTTTACTAATATTCCACGTTCCTCATTATGCCAGAGCTCGGAGGCGTGTTTTTAATCACCGCTGGGGAAAACAGTAAAAAGTGAGAAAAAAAAAAGAAAAGAAAAAGAAACTAGCATCTCCGGACTGCGTAGTGAAGAATGCAAAAGACTCACAAGTAGAGCAGCACCTGTGGTTTGGGAACATCCCATCCATCTTTCTGCACAGGGGGAATTGCGTGAGTGCGTATGTGTGTGCATGAAGGAGATGTGTGGGAGAAAGAAGAAGAAGGATGGAGGGAGGACGTGGTGGAGTCTATGAGTAATAGGAGCGATAGAGTAAGCATATGTGACCTACTGACACTGAGCAGGCTGCAGTCTGGTTTCAACTGGCCCGCGGCCTGGTTCTTGTGGACAACAGAAAGCCTCAGGGACAATGGCTGATGTATCAACTGTGACCCACTGGCTTTGAGCGGCATTTAAAGGAAGTCACAAATATGGATGCACAATACAGTAAAAATGATGCATAGAAGAAAAAAAAATGGGGGGGAAATGGAAAATTGAAGGCATTCTTTATCCACGCAAACAGGATCTTCATACCACTCGGCGGCGTAAAAAGAAATGTAATGGAACTTGGACCTCCACAATTCCAGCCCAAAGAGGGAGCCTCTTATCACCCGCCATCTCTCCCACAGCTAATATTTCACTTCAGCTCCCGGGCCCACAGAATGAGAGACGTTTCCATTTCATGTCAGTCATTTCCAGGCCTGTGTGTTACCTGTGTGGTGATAAGTGTTTGACTGACTGGGAGTGTCGTTAGTCACTGTCCGGCTCCGAGTGACAGCCACAGATTGACGCTGATGATGAGAGGAGGAGGACGAGGAGGAGGAGGAGGAGGAGGAGAGGCCTGGTGTGTTCAGGGACAACAGAAGAAACCTGCCGTTGATGCGGCGGGC